CCCCCCCCCCCCCCCGTCCCCGAAAGCGGCGCACCAGCTTGCTGAAGTAGCTGCGGCTGACTTTCAGCACCTCGCCCTTGTAGCGCACGCAGACCAAGGCGCTCTCCACGTGCATCTCCGCGCTGGGCAGGGGGGCCGACGGGACGGCCAGCCGCACCGGGTAGCAGTACACCAGCCGGTCCTGAACGTCGGGAGGTTCCACCTCAGCTGGGGAGGATGGGAGGTTAACTCCAGGCGCCCTGGGCCTCCTCCCCATCCAAGAGGCTACCCAAGCCAGACCCCAGAATCCGTCCCACCTCAAGGGAGCCCCGGCTCGGCCTCCTTCCCCCCGCTCCCCCCGGCCTCCTCCCTGGCAGCTACCGGAGATGCTGTGTTCCTTGAGGAGGGCCAGGTGCTTCTCGCGAATGCGCTTGACGTACTCCAGGGAGATGTGGTAGATCTTGCTGCAGATGCCCTCCACCGAGTCCTTGGCGGCGGCGGAGACGTGGGGGCCGCACTGCTTGCGCAGGTGCTCCAGCCGGTCCTGCACAGGGGGGGAAGCAACGGAGGCCCTGAGCAACGCCTGCTGTGGGGCTGCTCCTCTCCCGACAAGGGTGAACCGCGGAGGAGGATGCCAGTCTCCCACCCAGGCGAGTCCAGACCTGATGGGACTTAGGCACAACTGGCTCCTGGCAGCCTGAAGGGGCGTGAACCTGAACCGGAGACCCGGGAGGGAAACGCAGAGGAAGGGCTGCAAAGCATCGCGTGAAGACGCTGAGGAGGGCCTTCCTCGAAACGGCAGCTTCCCGGATAGGCGACAGACGTCTAATTGCTCCTCTTACTGGCCCAGAAGTGGGGAGCAGGGAAAGGGGGCCAGGCCCCGCCTGCTGCCTTTGCCCAAGGCGAACATTCTCGTGGCAGGGAGTCACAGCTTGACAATAAATCCGCATTTTAACAAGAAGTCTGTACTGAAGGTATTCCCGTGCATTTTATCTTGCTAGTCATGGCCAACTTTAGGAGCCGGTGCCACCTCTGTTTGCTAAGCCCAAGAGCCCCCGTTGTCTAGAAATGTTCCCGTGGCCAGAATGACACCATGCTGCAGCAGCAGCAGGCGGTGTGTGGCGAAACGTGGACGCTGTTATTTCCCCACACGCTTTTATGCTCTACTTCCTCGTCTCTTTGCATTTGAACTGCTAGGTGGGCAGGAGCTGCAGCGAGTGACGGGCACTCACTCCGTCTGGTGGCACTCGGGTCTTCAACGGCTGAGCTGGAGACCTTTCACGGTCTCGGCGTCACCACCCCATCCCCGTAGGTCCATATACTCAGAGGACCTACGTCAAATACAGCCCATCTGCCCCTAAAGGGAGGGCTCCAAACCAGCCCAGCCCCCGCCTCAACCTCTCCCCGCCTGCCTGGAGAAAGAGGCCAACCCACCATGTAGTCCTCCTTGGAGGCCGAGCGATCCCGCCGCAGCCAGCTGAAGGTGTCTTCTACGTTCCACTTCACCACCTTCCGGCTGTCTGGAGAGGCGCTCCTGCACACCGAGAGAAAGACCTGCCGTCAGGCTCCAAAACGCAAGGAGGACAGGCGGCGATTCTTCCCAGCAGATTCCTTTGTTGCTCCGTACCTACATACAGACTCTTGCCAGACTGAAGCAGGCGACCACCCTGGGGGAGCCCACCCTCCGGGAACGGGCAGGGAGGAGCCGTCTTCACCCTCTTTCTCCCACAGACTCTCTGGGCTGAGTCCTTTCTGGCTTCTTTGGAAAGCAGCCCCCGCCCCCCCCTCCCCCTCCTGGGGACCCAGACCACCCTCCACCACGCCTGCTGACCCCGGGCCCACGCTCTGAAGGCCAAGCAGCCGATCTGACCGGCGCCTGGAGGGGCTGGTCCTGGTGCTCCGGCCATCTCTTCTCTGGGGCCACTTCCCTCCCCTCTTGGATTGTCTTCTGGGAAGAACTCCAGTCCCCCAAAACAGCCAAATTGGCTCCTACCTGGACTCAATGAGCCGCTTTGCAGCTTCCGCGTATTTGAAAAGCAGCCGCTTGGCTTCTTCTCGGAACTTGATTCGGGACAATCTGTGGGGGAGGCAGAGGAAGGGGAGGGCTGAAGCTTGGGCTCTGGGGGAGGGGAGGGGCAGCCCCTCCCACCCGTCGCCTCTTTCCCGCCCTACCTGATGGGAATGTCGTTCATGATTTCTCGGAACATGGAGGGAGACACAACGGGCTCACAGTCGCTGGGCAGCAGAGGGTCCGAGCCCTTGTCCACCACCTTCCGCTCCAGCATCCAGCGGTTGAAGGACTCTCGGGGGGGATCGATTCCTGAGGGAAGAGCCAGGGAGGGGGGCAAGCTGGGCTCAGCCCCCAAGGACCCCTCCCCCAAGGCCCACCAAGGGGAGGGGGAGCCGTTACCTTCCCGCTGCTGACAGAGCTCCCGGTAATGCTGCCGCAGCTTCAGCATCAGCTGGGACCGGAGCAGCTCCACTTCCGGGTGAGGGCTCAGCACTTCCGACGGGGCCCGCTGCTTAATTACGGCGTTGGTCTGAATGTCCAGGTCCCAGTAGACTCTGCCGGAGGAGAGGAGCCCAGTAAGGCAGCCGGGCCTTCAAGCGGCTTGCTCCGCCCGCCCGAAACAAGCCGTGTTCTACGAAACGCCCCAGGCCGATTCTGAAGTCCACGGGCTGTGGGAGTTTAACAGGAAGGGCACCCACAGCCCCAACCGCGGGCTGGGCAGGGAGGCCCCCTGGAACGCCGCCTGTTCCTTCCTGGTGAATGGATCCTGATTAAACCCCGGGCTGGGCTTTGGGCTCCAGAGTCCTCCCTGCTTCCGGATGACTCCACAGTCCCTGCCGTTTTCTTGGCAACGTTCTCCAGAAGCGGCTGCCGTTGGCCGCTGCTTCCTGGGGCTGCGAGAGAGGCCCAAGTCACCCCGCCGGCATCTTGCCCACGGCGAGTCTGGAGCTTAGAGCCACCCGGTTTCTAGCCAAGCGCCTTCACCGCTACCCCAGCTGTCTGCTAGCGGAAGCACTTCTCCCGAGGCCCACCTATTGTGGCAGAAATGCTGCCCATCAGAGGCCGGGATGCCTAGCTGGGCTCAAGCATTAAAGCAGACTCCAGGTTTGCAATGGACAACTGGAAAAACAGGGGAACGTTTGAACTGGAGGGAAGGCGCACGACGACAAAACACGATTGTTTCTGCAGAAAGAAACACGGGGTTTGAAACAATAAGCAGAAACGAGGTTTTTGTGACTGCCAGGGACGGCCCTTCGGATTTGGCCCAAAAGGTTCGGTCAGCCTCCCCCCTTAACTGGTTGATCTCTTTAGGGGGGTTAATTGTAATTTTATTTGAAAAATGGCTACAACAATAAATAAACATAAACCCCAAAAAAGAAAAAGGAACAAATACTAATATAAATTGTAAGAAAAAGCAGACCGTGTAGAAAAGTAAAACAGAAAATAGAAAAGCATAGGAAAAAAGAATATAGGAAAGAAAAAATATACAGAAAGAAAAAATAGAAAAAACAATAAACAAAATAAATGACTCTTCATCACGGGAAACACAAACGTTTTAGTATTTTAGTAACGCATCTCCTTCTCTTAAAGTACAATAATTCTTTTGTTCATTAATTTAGTTGCCGCTTTTAACGACTAGAATGATTTTTAAATCTCGGGCATATATTATTGTTCCTGTGGATTGGGGTGTCCAATCTTGGCAACTTTAAGACCCGTGGACTTCAACTCCCAGCATCCCCCAGCCAGCATAGCCGGGTCTTAAAGTGGCCACGGCTGGGCTCCCCCGGTGTGCGCGTTTCGGTTTTAATCCTCCGCTCGCGGCCTAGAAACCCCGGGGAGCGCTCTACAAACGGCTTAAGTGAAAAATAAATCCCAAGTGCCGAAGATCACACACAGACGAGGAAGACGGCAGACTTCTGTCCTCTCCTGAGGATCAACCATCCTCTCCGCCATGCAAATTTTAACAGTCAGACTTACGCCACCAAAGAGCTAGAAAGAAAACGCCACCCAACGAGCAGGACAGGGCAGGAGGGTGGGGGAAGAGCCAAGCGAGCGTTCGTTTGAGGCCGATGGCCAGCTTCGTCTCCTCCTGCCCAGAAACACCGCCCGACTCACTCGGTTGGTCGCAAGAGAGCCGCCTGCCTCTCTTCGGGAGAGACGCCCCACGCCTTCAACAGCGGCGTCCCGGGAGTGCTGGAAACGTTTGGGGCTGGCTGAGCTGCGGGGTTTCCCGGCACCTCCACCTGGAAGGGAGCAAGGCCACGTTACCCTGGGGGAGGAACTCCAGAGCTCTGGGGACTGCCAACCGCAGAGCAGAGGCCAAGAGATGCTTGCCCACTCCTGGGGACGCCTGAACCTTCCAGGCATAGGAAAGGGAGAAGCCACGGAGGCTCCCAGGAGGGCTATGCCAGGGGGGCAGGCTCCAGCCTAGGGCCCCACCCGCTCCCCTCTCCCACCGGCCAACGCCAGCCCTCTGAGGCAGACCACCAAGAAGGCTGGCTTTGACCGGGGAGGCTGGAGGAGCAGAACCAGGGGAGGAAAAGCAGAAAGCAGGGAAACCTCTGGGGACAAGGCCACCCAGAGACATTCTGAAGGGCAAGCGGGCCTCTCTGGTGGCTTCGGTCCCTTGGGGACCGGGGCGTCACATGGGTGCGTAGACCTGCCCTCTGGTGTCCTGATCAGCAGGACCTCACGGCAGCTGACAGCTGACGCAATTAAGGTGCCCGGTTTCTGGGAAAGGTAGGTTTCACCTGTAGGCATTTTAACCGTGCGTTTTATACTTCAAACTTTAGGCCGTACAGTAAGTAGGCCTCCTTTTCATTGTGACGCTTCCAGCCTAAGAAGCCCAACTAGCAGGATTTTGCAGCTGTGAAGGGGGCTCCCTCTCAAGAGATCTGCTTTGGACTCTGCTTCCGGGCGGGTTTCCCTGCTCCTCTTCTTCTTCTTCAGGTGATTTTCGCAGCCAGATCTTCTCCCACGGCCCCCCCTGCTTCCCTCAGCCTTCAACTCCTCCTGGCTCTGCCCTCCCGAGCCCCTCGTCCCGGGCCAGAGAGGAGGGGGCTCCCTACCTTGGCCTTTTTCGCAAGGTTGCCGCTGGGCTGGCCCTCCTCAGACAGCTTCCGTTTCCACAACCTGCTTTCTGCAGCAGCGGCCGCTTCGCCGGCTCCCCCATCGGCAGGCACGGGGGCGGCATTCAGACCCAGAGGGTCCGACTAGGAAGCCCCAAAGAGAGAACGGTTAGCAGCGCCTTGGGGCTCCCCATCCCGCCCCAAGGAGCTGGGCCAGCAGCCGAGGGACGCTCCGGGAGGCCAGCCACACTCACAATGACATCATGCTGCCCCAGCAGTGGCATCTCCCAGAGGGACTGGTTGGTGAAGCGGTTGAAGTAGTACGGCCGGTTCTCACGCTTGCTCCAGCACTTCTCCCAGCCTGCCTGCACCAGCTCATCTGTGGGGGAGGCCAGAGCACCCAGCGTCATTGAGGGCGGTGGGGGGGGGGGGGGTGTAGGCGGGCATTGGGGCCACCCGTGTCAGCAGTTCCCCACAGCCGCCTCCGCGCAGTACCTGGCAAATCCTGCACCAGACGGGCGGGTTTGGGGGAGCTCGGCTGGTTCTGGTGGGAGGTGCCAGGAGAGTGGCTCATGAGGGCAGCCTCCTCCCTGGAGCTGCCGTGGTTCTCATTGGCCATGTTGCGGCAGCATCAGCACTGCAGAGAGACACGGAAACGGCATCAACTACGCCTCCTGCCCACAGCCAAACCTGGGCACGAGGCGAGCAACGCTGGCAGGGCACCGCTTGGCACCGTCGGGCAACCTGCTCAAACCTGCCAGCCGCAGGA